CACCCATGTGCTTGTACTGTGGGAGCAGCAAGCAGGGGTTTCGACCTCGGGGGCAGCGTGTCCATCCGGCGCAGGGCAAATTCGCGTGCACTGGTCGGGCATCATGTGTACAAAACGAATTATCTAAACGAACAGTTTCCCGACAAGATCCGAACACAAATTTGAGCACCCTCGTGAATGTGACAGGTCGTCACCAGGGGTGACAGCCCGTTCGAACAAGCGACGTCGCCAAGTATTGGGCGAATTCACGAAGCATCGCAGGAAAATAATTGAATCGCATGCCATTCCACTTTGACGCATATTTCGCCCATCCACTCAAATTTTCTCTTCGTGCTCTTCGACTACTGCTCACCCCATTGTTTCCCAGCAACAATGCCCTTTTCGAAGCGGTGCGACAGTTTCTGGTGAGAAACGAAATCGCCTGCGACTAGGCGGGGTGATGTCCAATCACGGAGAGAATTGCCGCGGCGCGGGTTTTGGTCTCGTGAATTTTTCTTATCGCGCTCAAATTTTTCCACAACCCTAAAGACACACACCCCACCTTCTGTCGCGAGCGGCACGCACTCCCCCCATTTCGCGTCATTTAATCACTTTACGAGTTTTTTTTGGGGGGGGTTCCAATTTGTCGGTGGGCAGTTTGCTGGGTGACATCGAACATAACTGCCACTCAGTGTTAGCCGATTGGTTATTTCGTTCCTCAAAGTGTGGATAACAGGTTCGGACAGGTTCGAGCGCGAACAGGCTCGACAAAGTGCTGCGGATCACTGTATCAGACAGTACAGTTGTGTGGGCTTAGGCGTGTCGCAATGCGATTGGTCTGCTAATATTCACTGTACTGACTTTTACACCACGCAGATCGCATGTACTGTAGTGCTGCGCCCATGTGGCACGTAGCCGTCAAGCACTCAGTCGTTTCCTTCCAGCTCTTGCCACGCGGAACATTAAAAACTGATCCGTAACACTTTGAGAACGTATCAGCCATTGATTTAGCGCCGCGTCATATTATCGAAGTGAAGTTGTTCAAGTGCATGCTGATGTGGTAAGAAGGCATTATTTGTGTGCTCGATACTATATACAGCGACCGTTTCACAACGAAAAAATCATCAGTAGATTGTAACTACATATTAGGAGGGAGTATTTTTAACAAAATAAACAGCACCCAACTAGAGATATAAAAAAACAAGTTCATAAACAAGTCATTTATTATAGCACTCAGTTCCATTTTGTTATACAGTGGAAAACCGTTGATCACTCATTTGCAAAATTTTGCAACTCCATGGTTTTGGGGGGGAAATGCACATATTGCGATCTTGTATGTGAAGTACTTTGTTTATTGTTGAAGACATCAACACTGTACTTAGGTTTGTTCTTTTGTTTGATGAACTTTATTTTTACTTATCTATTCATTGTACTGGTGCATTGAGGCATGATCATCATAGTGAGTAAACGGAAAGAATCATGCCTTTGCCAGCACTTTTACACTTGTTAATTTTTAGCCAACCTTTTCACAAGCATAATCAACCTTGCTACAGACACTGTTATCTCAATATATGTATAATGTATGGCCAATTGTGCCTGCATTACGTATTTCTGCCATGCCCAATTGGCGTTGTTATGCCTTGTGAGAGACCATAACATTACCCACCTGATTAAATATTTAGAGACAATAAAAATCAATAGCTATGCTTATCTCTTGTACTACAATTGTTTGACGATGCTCTAATCATATGCTGCTATATTTTCTAAACTTTGAGTAAATTGTTCAACATTGAAACTGTATTGTATTGATAGATTAATGAGCTATTAACTTATATTATCATGCAGATATTTTACGCACTACCAAACAACTGCTACGAAGAAAAGTTATATGTACTTTTACATGTTTTATCTATCAATTAATCGTTAACGGAACGTAATGCTCCGCGAATATCGACACTCCTTGCTGTCTGAACCCCAAATGATTCGTGCGCGATCGTGATTGGTTCCGTTGGTGGCACTTGGGTCTGACGTGTCTAGTGTTCCAGATTCATGTCGGTGCTGCGGCGTTCAAAACGAACAGTGTCAGATCAGCTGACGAGGCGATCTACCCAACGCACACAATACGAACCTACATTTCTATTGGTGCTTGTTCGCGCTGCGCAGCTCAAAATGCTTCCTCTCGTGCTTATGAACCTGTCATTTCAATGACTGCCATTTGGCGCTCAAAGGATTTTGTCTTGCTGAATGGCACACGTAGGCTAAATTACGAGATGCCACACGTAGGCTTGGCAACCCAGCACTACGCTGGTTTGGCTCCAACAATGTTGGAGGCTCTCGGTTGGGTTCCTGGCAAAAAGTTACGACATGACCGTACACTTACATGTACACTACCACTTTGAAGTCAAAATGTCGGGAGCGCGCACCGCTCGCGATAAAAGGTGGAGCGCGTGTCTTTCGGGTTGTGTAAAAATTTGAGCGCGATGAAAAAAATTCGTGAGACCAAAGCCCGCGCCGCGGCAATTCTCTCCCAATCACGTGTCGTCCGTGCTGGGTGGGGCACGTCTTCCATTCTGTGTTCGAACAGGGCTGTTCGAACGTGCAACACATTTGGCAACATGCCTGATGTGACAGCTCTGTTCGAATTGGCGAAATTTAGGTTTAGCCACTTCGCTAAGGTTCCTACGAATTTTGGCGAAGCTTGTAACCCCCTACCTGTTCGAACAAGAGGCTAACGACGCTAACACTTGTCACAAAAGTCTCGCCTGGCTCATCACGCGACGTCTCGGAACGCGTTCTGGTACATTTGAAGGATCTTATTGGTTGAAGATATACTTGCGATAGATTTGAGACCTGTAACCCTACAAGCTAGGCAAATCGTGAATGCACGCGCGCTTCACGCACAGCACAGCTAGGATGTATACTAAGATCGCATTCCCCGTTCGGACACCATCCAAAGTTTGGCCACGCGGTGCGCAATTTAAATTAATGACATTTCAATGTTGGGCCACGCGGTGCGAAGTCTGGACACTTCGGTTTCAGTCGGCCACCAAACGTGCGACCAACATGGACGGCAACTGTAGAGCTGTGCGATCGTGCAACAAACCAGGGTTTCCCGTAAACATAATTTTGTTTTGTCCACTATCGTGTATTGTTGCGGGCTCGTTTCCTCCAATTGTCTGCCAATCCAAGTAAAAAAATCACTTATCGCTTATAAAACAAGCAAGCAGCCCGAAACTGGATTTTCTTTTTGTTTTTAGATGCCCGAAACTCAGTTTTGGTCGTTAGCGGCTGACACTGCTATTGTGTACTGCGTCTTTCTCTGATTGGTCGCGAATCCAAACGACACGGACGACAGGGGTCGCATGCCAGACCCTACCAAATGTCCGAGGTGGGGCCCTGCCCCACACGGACACCATCCGAACGCCAAAATGCCTTCAGGTGGACAAACTTCGGATGGTGTCCGAACGGGGAATGCAATCTAAGCTGCACACAATTATTTGTGCAGGGGGGCGAATAACGTACGTTCTTCCACGACGTTCTCACCAAGAGCCGATAATTATTGCTGTCTTGAGCGACGTTCTGTTTCCGTGTCATTCCAGCTCGTCACAATACTCACGGCTCCATGGCATCGATGGTGTGACGCGATTCTTTTCGACCATCAAATACCACCGCGTGAAGCTATTTCTCCAGAGCCGTCGCTCCATTCTAATCATTTCGTGAATAATAGTTTCAGCGGAACTTCGTATCCGAGTTCGGAAGTTCCCACCATTTGTTCCTACTTTACCATCCACCATAAGTTACATAGCTGCCTAGCTGTTGCTGCTGCTGCTGTAGTCGGCCTTATTCCTTCCTGAACCCATCTAAACAAAAACAAACATCAGAAAGAACTCCGAGTTCGATTGAACAGAGCCATGGAGGTCGTGCGATTTTCCAAGTCCCTTCACACGGCGATTGGCGAGATGCTGGCCCACAATGATCAATCCGAAGACCGATTCTTGCCTACTTCCGTTCACGGTGTACAAGGTGCTTTTGCTAGTACAGCAGCGGCTTGCCCGTCATCACCGCCATGTTTATCGCATCCGGTTAACAATCTCCAGTCACTCGGCAAGCAGCCTGGCTCATCGTTAACCGGAACTGGGTTCCCAGCAGCGTTAATGCTCTTCGAAAAAGATGCACAGCACGCCGTAAAACACGGCCGCTCCACGGCAATCGACGTCTCATGCTCACAAAACCGCGGCGTCGACACTTATCCACACTCAAATGCGCTCAAGCCGAATTCCAAAATCCACTCGTTTTCCGCCTCCTCGCCTGCCTCGGATCACCGTGTATCGGCGCTCGTGATATGCTGGAGGACGCTGCTTCAGCTGGCGATGCTGGGACGGACACTCGGGCAGGTGCTGGAGCGAACCGTTCTCGTGAGCGCCTTGTATCAGCGGCTCGCGCGGAGCCGATTAGTGCGGCAGAAACCGACGGCCAGGGGCTTGCCGTTTTGATGGCCAGCGGGACAAGGGACAGCCGAGTTATGCTTGCCCAATGATGAGTAGTGAATAAACGCGTTTATTCCGTGACAAACGCGATAATAAACATGTTACGGCAATGTTAAGTTAGTGTTGTTTAGAGGTGAACCATAAATATATTTTTTGCTCTGGGCTACATTCACAGGCAGTAGGGTTTCAAGTGTTTACAACACTTTGTTAGAGGTGAACCAATATTGTGACTGGTGTAAACAGGAACCATTCCCAAATTTGCTGGTACAGTATTTATTATGACAAGGATCACCTGGTAGGGTACGTGCAAGAAGATGTACTTAGCAATGAATGTGCTATACAGTACAGAGTCAGTGGGTGCCTATCTTCTGAGCTGCCGCTTGAATTGCAATACAGAGGTTGAGCAAAAATAGCGCTTAAATAGGTGGATGATGTGCAGCAGCAAGCCGAAACCCATGCATCCTCACAGCCTCCTCGCCTCAAGCTTTGGGAAAGACTAAATTTGCCAGACTGGAATAGCACCTTGGCTTGGTGTTATGCATCCCCTGGGTCATCTTCCGCCTTGCGTTTTCTACTCAAAGCGCCCCCTTGCACTCCCTCCCCACCCACAGCATCCTGCCCCTTCACTCCCCCCTCACCTTGCTCGTCCTCCCCTTCTTTCCTCTTTCCATTCCCCTCCGCAACACCCCCCTGCCCATTTTCTGCCTGCCCGGCCACCCCCTGCCCGTTTTCCCCCTGCCCGTTTTCCCCCTGCCCGTTTTCCCCCTGCCCGTCCGCCCCCCGCCCAATCCCTGCTCTCTTGGCCACTTTTTTCTTCCAGAAGGCCGCCAGCCTGGCACACGCCACTGACAGCTCGTCGGGCGGCATGGCGGCGTAGCACACTCGGAAGAATCCCGGCTCGCCATAATGGCATGCTTCCCCTGCTCATATCCAGGCATCCAGGCAGGGGGTGATGAGAGCACGATGTGAGGAGGAGAGGAGAGGCATGGGGCATTGAGCATGGCGGCGTAGCACATGCACAAGAACCCTGGCTCGCCGTAATGGCAGGCCTCCCCTGCTCATATCCAGGCATAGAATGGGGTCATGGGGCTTGGCAGCTTTAGAGACTTCGCAGAAGTGACATGAGCATGGGGGCGTAGCACACTCGAAAGAGCCCCGTCTCGCCATAGTGGCATGCCTCGCCTGCTCATATCCAGGCATGGGGTGATGAGAGCACGATGTGAGGAGAGGAGGAGAGGCACGGGGCATTGAGCATGGCGGCATAGCACACGCGGAAGAACCCCGGCTCGCCGTAATGACATGCCTCCCCTGCTCATATCCAGGCATAGAATGGGGTCATGGGGTTTGGCGGCTTTTGAAACTTCTCAGAAGTGACACAAGCATAGTGGCATAGGGTTTAGGGTAAAAGCCCCGGCTCGCCATAGTGGCATGCCTCCCCTGCTCATATCCAGGCAGGTGGAATGGGGTAGTGGGAGAACGATGTGGGGAGAGGGAGAGAGGCAAGGGGGCACTGCGGATGGCGGTGTGGCGGTGGCGGGGCACACGCGCAGGGGGCACACGAGCAGGGGGCACACGAGCAGGGGGCACACGCGCAGGGGGCACACGCGGAAGAACAACGGCTCGCTCTAGTGGGAAGCCTTGCCTAGCATGATACGAGACGAGCCTCACAAGCTGTAGTAGCAACGCTACCCAGAAGAAAGGGTGCTGCACCTGGAGTGATCACGATCTTGCAAGAGTCGAGAATCTCACGCCACAGCAGCCGCTCGGCCTCAAAGGTGGGTTGGGAGAGGATGGCGCGCAGGTCGAGCCAGCAGAACATGGCTGCACATGCCGGCTGGTACTGCATGCCTGATGCCTCGAACGCTGATGTCAGCAGGTCGTAGGACATCTTGAGACGGCTGCAGTAACAGGGGCAGAGGGGTAGCAGGTTGGAGAGGGGAGGGGGAGGGGGAGAGGGAGGTGTGACCATAATGGTGATTCACTAGGGAAGGAAGTGCGCAGAGGAAAGGGCTGGGGGAACACGGGATGGGGAGCAAGGGGTGGAGGAGTAAGGGGTGGAGGAGCAAGGGGAGGGGGAGCAAGAGGGTGGGTTGGGAGAGGATGGCGCGCAGGTCGAGCCAGCAGAACATGGCTGCACATGCCGGCTGGTCCTGCATGCGCCTCGAATGCTGATGTCAGCAGGTCGTAGGACATCTTGAGACGGGTGGGGTGGTGGGTATGAAGAGGGGAAGGTGTTGTGGGGTTATTCAGTTGGATTGATGGATGAAGTGGGTGCGGACGACAGGCAGGTGATGAGTGCTCTGTGGGCATCCCAAGGAACGAGCCATGTGAGTGAGCCATGTGAGTGAGCCATGTGAGTGAGCCATGCGAGTGAGCGATGTGCGTGCGAGTGAGCAATGCGAGTGAGCAATGCGATTGAGCGATGTGAGTGAGCGATGCGAGTGAGCGATGTGAGTGAGCGTACTGAAAGCGCGCGCACAGTGAGAGTTCAGTCATCATCACAACGTGATGGATGGGTGAGCGTGAATCATTTGCATGACAGGGCGTGCTGCGGGTGAATGACAGGTGAGTGCGCTGCATGCTGCATGCTTCACCGCTTGCTCTCACCATTTGTTCGTATGCACCTGTTATAACCGTGTCCTCTTACGAACTTGTCATCTTCCAGCATCACCAACAGGGCGTGCTGTGGGTGAGTGCTGGTGAGTGTGCTGCATGCTACATCACTTTCTGTCGCTTCCCCGCTTGCTCGAACCACTTGTTCCTCAGCGTGCATCCCCATTCTCACCGTTTATTCTCTGAGACATAGGAGTCGACGAACTTGTCATCTTCCAGCATCACCGAGAGCGCGTGCTGCGTGTCGTTTGACACGGCTGCAAACATGCCAATGTTCTGCCAGAACTGCATGCAGCAGAAGGGGAAATGAGCGAGAAACAGGAGGCAATGCCGTGCTGCGTGTCATTTGACACGGCTGCAAACAACCCATCCCGCTTCACCACGGCTGCTGTTCTGTCAGATCTGAGGGCCATAACAGTGGGGCTTGGAAGTGTTAGGTGCGATGATGACATGGCATGGTATGACCATGGTATGGTACGGCATGGCATGGCATAGCACGACACAGCATGGCATGGCATGGCACGGCACGGCACGGCACGGCATGGTGCGGATCAGTAGCACGGAATGCACAAATGAGCCACTCACAGCCAGCAGGTCCTTGTTCTTGGTGTGCAAGCATCCCACTCGGAACCCGTTCATGCCAAAGTCCTTGCTCATGCCATACGCCGTGTGCACTCTCTCCTCTGCCAGCGCCTGTGGTAGCCTCCCCTCCGCCACTAAGTGCCCCGCCACCTTCTCTATGCTCACGAATTCAGACGCTGATGAGCTGGGGTCAAGGATGGGGAGGGATCGAAGGAGAAAAGCTGATGAGCTGGGGTCAAGGATGGGGAGGGATCGAAGGAGAAAAGCTGATGAGCTGGGGTAAAGGATGGGGAGGGATCGAAGGAGAAAAGCTGATGAGCTGGGTGCAAGGGTGTGGGGGAGGCGGGAATGAGGGGGAAGGGGGGAATGAGGGGGGAGGCGGGAATGAGGGGGGAGGGGAGAATGAGGCGGGAGGGGGGAATGAGGGGGGAGGGGGAAAGAATTTGAGAGTGCTATGCCCGCATGCCCCAGCAGCCTCCCCTCCGCCACCAGGTGACCCGCCACCTTCTCTATGCTCTCAAACTCCGAGGCTGAGGAGCTGAATATCAAGCAGAGGGAAAGGGGGAAAAGGGGCGTGTGGATATCAAGCAGGGGGGGAGGGGGAAAAGGGGCGTGTGGATGGATCAAAGACGAGAGGATGTGTGTGCAAGAATGCTCCAACCCAACTGCCCCTCCGTCACCAGGTGACCCGCCACCTTCTCTATGCTCTCAAACTCCGAGGCTGAGGAGCTGGATGCGGGGAAGCGGCAGATAGGGGGGGGGGGGGGGAATGGGGGAGTGGGGAATGAGGAGAGGGGGGAATGATGGGAAGGGGAGGGGGGGTTGAGAGGGCAGAGAGGGAAGCAGCGCGTGTACAAGCAGAGGAAGGGTCACCTAACTTGGAGTTGGCGTACAGTATGTTTTGTCTGCCAGCACGTGCAGCTCGTGGTTGGTGTAGCAGCACAGAGAGGATAGAGAGCACAGAGAGGATAGAGAGCACAGAGAGGATAGAGAGCACAGAGAGGATAGAGAGCACAGAGAGGATAGAGAGCACAGAGAGGATAGAGAGCACAGAGAGGATAGAGAGCACAGAGAGGATAGAGAGCACAGAGAGGATAGAGAGCACAGAGAGGATAGAGAGCACAGAGAGGATAGAGAGCACAGAGAGGATAGAGAGCACAGAGAGGATAGAGAGCACAGAGAGGATAGAGAGCACAGAGAGGATAGAGAGCACAGAGAGGATAGAGAGCACAGAGAGGATAGAGAGCACAGAGAGGATAGAGAGCACAGAGAGGATAGAGAGCACAGAGAGGATAGAGAGCACAGAGAGGATAGAGAGCACAGAGAGGATAGAGAGCACAGAGAGGATAGAGAGCACAGAGAGGATAGAGAGCACAGAGAGGATAGAGAGCACAGAGAGGATAGAGAGCACAGAGAGGATAGAGAGCACAGAGAGGATAGAGAGCACAGAGAGGATAGAGAGCACAGAGAGGATAGAGAGCACAGAGAGGATAGAGAGCACAGAGAGGATAGAGAGCACAGAGAGGATAGAGAGCACAGAGAGGATAGAGAGCACAGAGAGGATAGAGAGCACAGAGAGGATAGAGAGCACAGAGAGGATAGAGAGCACAGAGAGGATAGAGAGCACAGAGAGGATAGAGAGCACAGAGAGGATAGAGAGCACAGAGAGGATAGAGAGCACAGAGAGGATAGAGAGCACAGAGAGGATAGAGAGCACAGAGAGGATAGAGAGCACAGAGAGGATAGAGAGCACAGAGAGGATAGAGAGCACAGAGAGGATAGAGAGCACAGAGAGGATAGAGAGCACAGAGAGGATAGAGAGCACAGAGAGGATAGAGAGCACAGAGAGGATAGAGAGCACAGAGAGGATAGAGAGCACAGAGAGGATAGAGAGCACAGAGAGGATAGAGAGCACAGAGAGGATAGAGAGCACAGAGAGGATAGAGAGCACAGAGAGGATAGAGAGCACAGAGAGGATAGAGAGCACAGAGAGGATAGAGAGCACAGAGAGGATAGAGAGCACAGAGAGGATAGAGAGCACAGAGAGGATAGAGAGCACAGAGAGGATAGAGAGCACAGAGAGGATAGAGAGCACAGAGAGGATAGAGAGCACAGAGAGGATAGAGAGCACAGAGAGGATAGAGAGCACAGAGAGGATAGAGAGCACAGAGAGGATAGAGAGCACAGAGAGCAAAGAGAGCACAGAGAGCAAAGAGAGCACAGAGAGCAAAGAGAGCACAGAGAGCCCAGAGAGGACAGAGAGCCCAGAGAGGACAGAGAGCCCAGAGAGGACAGAGAGCCCAGAGAGGACAGAGAGCCCAGAGAGGACAGAGAGCCCAGAGAGGACAGAGAGCCCAGAGAGGACAGAGAGCCCAGAGAGGACAGAGAGCCCAGAGAGGACAGAGAGCCCAGAGAGGACAGAGAGCCCAGAGAGGACAGAGAGCCCAGAGAGGACAGAGAGCCCAGAGAGGACAGAGAGCCCAGAGAGGACAGAGAGCCCAGAGAGGACAGAGAGCCCAGAGAGGACAGAGAGCCCAGAGAGGACAGAGAGCCCAGAGAGGACAGAGAGCCCAGGGGTGCGTGTAGGGGGAAAAGCAAGGCTCACCCGAACTTGGAGTTGGCGTAGATCTCATCGGACAGCACATGCAGCTCGTGGTTGATGGCCCACAGCAGCAGCTCCTGCATGGAGGGATGTGCGGGTGGGGAGAAGAGGGGTGTGCAGAAGACAGATGCGCGGGTCGTTCATTCATTATGAGGGTGTGCATGCATTCCCATGCAGCTCGTGGTTGAGACCACAGCAGCAGCTCCTGCACGGAGGGATGTGCGGGTCGTTCATTCATTGAGAGGGTGTGCATGCATGGTCACACCGCCAGCGACAGCACATGCAGCTCGTGGTTGATGGCCCACAGCAGCAGCTCCTGCACACATGGGAGTGAGCGTGTGTGGGCATAAGCGAGATGTGAGGGTCGTTCATTCATTGAGAGGGTGTGCATGCATGGTCACACCGCCAGCGCCAGCACATGCAGCTCGTTGTTGATGGCCCACCCACAGCAGCATCTCCTGCTCGTATGCAAGTGTGCATGGGCATGAGGCAGGCGTGCAGGTCGTTTGTTATGAGGGTGTGCGTGCATTCCCATGCGGCTCGTTGTTGATCACCCACAGCAGCAGCTCCTGCACACATGCACGTGTGTGTGGGCATGAGGCCGGTGTGCAGGTCGTTTGTTATGAGGGTGTGCGTGCATTCCCATGGGCTCGTGGTTGATCACCCACAGCAGAACCTCCCGCACGAATGGGTTCACGGGTGCAGTGCAGGTATGTGTGGGCGTGGGGCAGATGTGCGGGTTGTTAGTTAGGAGTGTTCAGGGTTCAGGGCAGAAGGCTCAGCAGCCCACCTTGAGAGTGGCTTCAGGGTAGAGCGTGCCAGAGGGATTGCTGGGGTTGGTGAGCAGCAGAGCACACACATCTGGAGAGTGGCTAAAGCGATTCCAGTGCTTCCAGCAGCAGCAGAGGTCCCACAACAACAGGCGAACCAGAAAAACGGGCTCACCTTGAGGGTGGCTTCAGGGTAGAGTGTCCCGAGGGGGTTGCCGGGGTTGGTGAGCAGCAGCACGCGCGGGCGAATGCCCTTTGCTTGCGCGGCCATGAACGCCTCTTCCATCTCCACAGTGGTGGGGATGTAGCTGCGCGTGTCCCGCGGCTGGATGGGGATGGGCACCACCTCGTTCTGATGCAGAGGGAAAAAGTGAGGAGGTGCAGGAAGAGAGGGCAGGGCAGTATGGGAATTCACTTGCACGCCTGCCTGTGCGGCTGTTAACGCCTCTTCCATCTCCACGGTGGTGGGGATGTAGCTGCGCGTGTCCCGCGGCTGGATGAGGATGGGCACCACCTCGTTCGGAAGGGGAGAGGGTGAGGCAAGAGAGGGGAGTTTGGGACTTCACTTGCATATGTGTGCTTTTGGTTGCAACTCGGCACGCCTCTGGCATGTGCGGCAGTGCATTCGACAGCGGTGGAAATGTAGCTGCATGGAACATTGCCCATCCCCACCCATCCCGTGGCTGGATGGGGATGGGGGCACCACCTCGTTCTGGTGGGAACCACGTGGACGAGGGTGAGAGGGGTGAGGAGAAGAGGATGAGGGGAGCGAGGGTGAGAGGCGGGAGGGCGATCTGGGATTTCACTTGCATGCCTGCCTCAAGTGTCATGTCGCGTGAATGCCATGGCTTCACTGCCATGCTTGATGCTCGCTTCTTACCATTATGCTCACGTCCCATACCCCCAACCCAGATGCTCACGGCTCTTGGCCCTTATACCTTGGCAACTTACATGGAGGTTTACACTCTTACCCGCACCATCTTGCTCTTATGCCCCTACCCAGATGCTCATCATGCCCTTACCCGGATGCTCATGGTGCTGTCAAACGGAGTAGGGTGGGTGAAGGGATGAATCGACACACACGCAATGGGAGTTCATGCCCTTGATTCATCCTTTGCTTTCATACGCACGCCCCTACGCCACTACCCGCCTACCCGGATGCTCATGTCGTTGTCAAAGGCAGGGAAGTAGGGCGCGGGGATGAAGCAGTATGCATGAAAGTTCATGCCCTTGATGGATCCCTTGCCCTCATACCCCCTTGCCGCCCCTACCCGCTTACCCGAATGCTCATATCGTTGTCAAAGGCAGGGAAGTAGGGCGCGGGGATGAAGCAGTATGCATGAAAGTTCATGCCCTTGATGGATCCCTTGCCCTCATACCCCCTTGCCGCCCCTACCCGCTTACCCGAATGCTCATATCGTTGTCAAAGGCAGGGAAGTAGGGCGCGGGGATGAAGCAGTATGCATGAAAGTTCATGCCCTTGATGGATCCCTTGCCCTCATACCCCCTTGCCGCCCCTACCCGCTTACCCGAATGCTCATATCGTTGTCAAAGGCAGGGAAGTAGGGCGCGGGGATGAAGCAGCCCTCTCCCGCACTGCACGTGGCAAAGAAGAATAGATCCAACACGCTGGTTGGAAGGACGGGTGGGGAGGGAGGAAGAGAGGAGAGGTGGGGGAATGGGGGAGAAAAGATGGGGTTGGGATGGGGGCCTAGCAGCCCTCGGCTGCAGTGCACGTGGCGAAGAACAGATCCAACATGCTGGTGGAGGGGGGGGTGGGGGAGGGGCATGGTGAGAGAGAAGGCTGGGGGAAGGGGATTTGCGGGTGGTTGCGGGCACAATACTCACACAGTAAAACCACACCATTACTCTCACACGAGGTCGTTTTTGAGGCGCCTCAAAAACGACCTCAATGCAGGTGGTTGCGGGTATAACACTCACACGGTAAAACCACACCATTACTCTCACTCACACGACACGGCACGGCAACTTACTGTAGCACCCATGCTTCTTGGTCGGCCGGTAAATTTGCAGAGTCACAGAGTACCCTTCCCATGCCCCTGACCCAAGGTAGTGGGTAAACCCAAGGTATCACTCTCAGTCACGCACTGCCACACTCACGCGGTGACTCCACTGGAGATGCAGATGTGCAGAGGGCCCACATCAACCCCCAGGAACGTGTGCTGCATCATGCTGGCTGCACGTATGCTCATACAAATCACTCCCAAAGTAACCTCACGCACTGCCGCACTCACACAATAAACCCACTCACGCGGTGACCCCACTGGAAATGCAGATGTGCAGCGGATCCACATCCACGCCCATGAACGTGCGCTGCATCATGTTGGCAATGGCCTGCCTCAGCCGCTGCCCGCCCCTGAAGTTGCCGTACAGCCCGATGGTCGACGGCACCTCCCTGCAGCTCCTGTGGGGCATAAGGCGCAGAAAAGGACAAGATACGCCGACCAGGTGGAAGCGGAAATTTGAGTCGACTCAGAAGTCACAGAATGTTGGCACTGGCCTGGCTCAGCTGCTGCCAGCCCCTGAAATTGCCATACAGCCGAATGGTTGCCGGCAACTTCTCTGCAGCTCGTGAGGTGAACAAGGCGGTGAATAGGACAAGATATGCCGACGAGGTGGACATGGGAAAAGGGTAGAGGGTTTTTGCTGGTGCCAATTGGGTGAGGTGACGCCATGGATTAGAAGTGCGGAGGAGGGCTTTTGCTGGTGCTAGATGGGTGACGTAACGTCAATTGGAGTTGGAAGGGGTTTTTGCAGGCGCTAGTTGGGTTACACTACGGAGTGGACTGATGTAGAAAAAAATACTAAATAACTGTGGAATTAATACACGCTTGAAAGAGGGAGGTCAGGAAGTGTGGAAACCATTCCCTTCCAAAAGGAAGGGAATGCATATGACAATGAAGGGAGAGGGAGATAATACTCAAGACATTGAAGAAAAAGGAAGGATGATGTTCCAAGGCTGACTAACTTGATCTTTTCGTGGATCAAGTCGAACGTCAGGACAGTCTCTGCTTGTGCCATCTGCAAACGGGCGGGCGGCACAAACGACAAAAAAAAAAAAAAAAAAAAAAAAAAAAAAAAAAAAAAAAACCAGCAAAACGCATGTTGCATTGCAGATTGAGTCGCAAACACACAAAAAAAAACAACTCTCGGCGTCTGAATTGGTACCACAGAAGACTCAACACCCCACAAATCGGCCCTCCCTGGCAAAACTCTAAATTAGAGGCATCTCAGAAACAAACTCGACCGGATCACGTCCGGAAACGAAGAAAAGAAGAAAACGAAGAAACGAAGAAGAAGAAGAAGAAGAAGAAGAAGAAGAAAAAAAAAAAGGTCAAAAGATACGAGCCTGGCCCGATCAAATCCTGGTAAACAGTATTTCACCGACCAGAAAGTATCCATCAGGCGTTTTTTCCGAGTAGGGCTCCTCCTTGGCCTTGTTGACCGCATTGATGTACGGCGAAAACGGCACCAGAGCGCGCGCGCCGCGCGATGACAAACTCGTCTTCCTACTACCCGTTATCGCGCCCTGCGTGCCCTGTTTTCCGTCTGTTCCCCCCGTCGTTAATCCCCCGTCCTCCCGGCTGTCAACCACCTCGTCGCCCGGCAGCTCCCCGGGAACCGGACACTCCACCGACATCGCTCAAAATGGTGCTCCTGGTTACCAGATTCTGGTTATTAGCACTGGTTACCAGCTGCAGTGGTTACGGGACTGGTTATCGGACTACTGCTGGCCTTGAAAGCAACAACTCAGCAGCAACGAGGAATGCGTTTTATGAGATTCTACGGTCACTATGATGTGCTTTGAGGTGCGACCAGCCTAAGGTCACGGTTCTGGGCGAAGCTTGGACACCACCAACCAAATTTTTCCCTCAGTGACGGTAAACACACCCGATCATTGGTCACCACACAAGTTGCGAGAAATCTTGGAGCATGGCAGCCAATCAGACGTGTGGCATTGCTACCAAAGTGTCCACACTTCAGATGGTGTCCAGACTTCAGAACCGTGATCTAAATCTCCAGCGCATCCCATCTATTGAAGCGACCATGCGACCAACGATGGTAAACAAGAGCTCAGAATTCTGGTTTGTTGGGCGGGCGGACGCTTGGAAACTAGAATCGCGAGGGGGCTCTCGTGTGCCAAGAAAGACCTCGAATTTCCCGCCATTCCTTGGGATTAGGGCTGTCTAAATTCAACGTATCGGATGGCGGTGTTGGGTCATTAAAAGTTGGAGGTACACGCTGATAATATTATTTCTTTAGTGTAATGCCACACATAAAACAAAACTAGTTTCTCATTCAACGTAGACATGCAATTCCATTCTCATTAAGATGTAATTAATATATCTTCAGTGTATAGCATAAAGTTCATAATGAGCTTAATGTTGCACATGCAAAAAAACAGTGCCGTAATGAATTTACTACACGGTAGAATGATCAGTGCCATTAGATAATGTTAAACAGGATGCGTGTTGGGTTATCTGTGCTGCGATAAGATGTTGATCGCTGCCAGGATCTACTCGGGAAGGTTCGCACGCAGAGAGGTAGAGTTGGTGGGCCCTTGACCTCAATAGCAGAGTGAATGTAAAATGCTTTGAGATAAATAAAACATGCAAATACAGCAAATATAAATATGAGTACAGGGAAGGCGAAACGTCCTAGCTAGCCATGTACTCTAAGGGGTACATTCCCTTATTCAAATTCATTCCCAACCGTGCGGCGCGTACAGTTACGAAACCGTTCCCGCCAAAACCCTCGAGCCTGCAGCTGTTCGATGCCGTCTGCTCCGACGGTCCAGATGCGCCTTAACCGTCTGACGTTTCGAATCAACTCTGACTCTTCACGTTCATTCTCGATACTGCATGCTTCCTTAGCTGCGGTCGGGAGTGTACTTTAAACTTCATTCATTGCTATTCGTAACACCCCCCTTCACCCCTGGCCGTAGCTCGACTTGACCTGCTTGACCACGCCGCTGAGTTCGGAGCAGTGCTGGTACTGCTGGCGTGGCAGTCGCTTCGTGAGGAAGTCTGCTGCCATGTCACCGGTCGGGCAGTAGGTCAAGTTGACCTTGCCCTTGTCCACCTCGTCCTTCACGAAGAAATACCGCAGCGCAATGTGCTTGGTGCGGTTGACAAAACCAGGTTTGTTCGCGATGCGAATCGCGCTCTGGTTGTCGCAGTGAAGGCGAAAGGTGGGCGAAGCTAGAATTTTCGCCTCCTGCAGGAGTTCCTGCAAGTAGAGCCCTTCGCGAACTGCTGCGGTTGCTGCGATGAATTCCGCTTCGGCTGACGACAGGGCAACCAGTTCCTGCTTCTGCGAGTTCCAGGAGATTGGTCCCGTTGGTTCGAGTCGGAACAGGAAGCCAGTCCTGGACCGTCGATTGTCGGGGTCTGCTACATGATTGGCGTCCACATAGCCGATGAGATTGAAGGATGGGGTTGGTGCAGTTGAGTAGCACAGCCCAATCTTGGGCGTCAAAACGAAGAACTGCAAGGCGCGCTGCAGGTCTAGAAGATTCTGAACCGTTGGTTTGCGTGAGTACTGGGCCAGCTGACTTGCGATGTAGGAGAGGTCTGGCCTGCAGGTGACAGAGGCGAAGAGCAGGCATCCCAGCTGCTGCTGGTAAGTCTGAACTCCAGCAGGGGATAGGGCTTTGTTGTCGGGTTTGTGGTTCGGTCCAGGGGTTCGGTAGGGAGTTGAGAGAGGTGCAGGTGAGATGTTGAACCGCTTCCCTAACTCCTCTGCGTACTTAGCCGCTGAGAGGTGAATGGCCTCAGGCACGTAGGTGATGTTGAGGCCTAAGAACTGCTTCACCTCGTGGTTGCTCGTAATGTCGACGGGCCCCGCCAAAGCTTTCTCGAACTGCTCGAGTAGCTCGTTGTTTGAGCCTGTGTAGAGCAGGTCGTCGACGTAAACCGTGAGAAGAATGTATTCGCTGCGGAAGTCACGGCGGTACATCCCTGGATCGTGCGGCATCTGCTTGAACCCGATTTCAAGCAGGATGTTGTGCAGATACTGCTGCCACAGCCTCGGTGCCTGCTTGATCCCGTAGAGCGACTTGCGCAGTTGACACACGCGCGAGTCCCCTTCGCCGTATGTGTGCGGCTGCTCCACGTAGATCACGGCGTCTACTAACGCGTACAGGAACGCGTTCTTCACGTCGATCTAGCGGAGCGGCGGGTGCCTTGCAGCTGCGATGGTGAGCAAGATTCGAACGGAGGTATGGCGGCTGACTGGGGCGAACGTCTGGTCGAAGTCGATGCCATGCCTCTGGTCATAGCCGCGCACCACCCAACGCGCCTTGAAGCGCTCGATCGTTCCATCCGCTGCGGTCTTCACGCGGAAGACCCACTTGCCCGAGAGGATCCTTGCGCCTTTGATTGCCGCACGGTCGACTAGCACCCAGGTGTCTCGGGACTCGAGCGCCTTAATCTCCGCAGCCATCGCCTCGCGCCATTCCTTGCTGTGTGGTCCAGTGAGAGCTTCGCGCGGGTTTCGGGGCTCGATGACACGTGGTGCCTTCGAGGTTGCGGTGTGAAGCCCGAGCAGCTGCAGTCCTGAGACGGTGCTGTCGTGGCGACGTTGCGGGATGACTTCCTGCACATCGTCGTCATCACTCTCTGGTTCAGCTGGCGCTGGTGGTGCTGCGCCTCTGCCGCTTCCGCCTGTTCCGGTTATTCCTCCTTCCGAGGAATCGTCGTCGTTGTCGTCGCTGCGCCGATCTTCCCATGTGAACTCGCCCCTAGTGTCCTGCTCCAGAATTGCTGCAGCGGCTTCGTCTTCGGGCGTTGCGTAGCTGTACCCATCATTTGCGTAGACGCAGTTTGCGTTCGTCTCCTCGTCGTGGCTGCTCGAGGAAGAGGCGTTCGTAGAAGATTACGTCGCGAGCGTGGGCGGTTTTCTGACTGAGGAGGTCCAGCACGATCCACGCTTTGTACTCGTGGCTGATGCCGAGGTGAATCCCCCAGCGCGCGCTTCTGGCGAATTTGCCGATGGTTGACGTCGGCGGGCGGTATTGAACCATGCACCCCCACACGCGGAGCATCGATGTATCCCCTTTAGTTTCAGTCCATTTGACATGTGGGGATAGATTTCCGGTGATGGCGGTGGTTGAAAGCAGGTTATGCACCCGCACGGCGTGGTGCATTGCGTAGGTCCAGTAGATCGGCGGCAGCTTCGACTGCTTCATCAGCGCCCGCACCTTCGTCATGAGCGTGCGGTTCGTCCGCTCAGCTACGCCCTGCTGCTGGTGTGCGTAGGGGAGAGAGATGTGGTGCTCGATCCCCTTTTGCGCCAGGTAAGTCTGCATCTGGTTGCTCCTGAATTCTGCCGCGCCGTCAGATTGCCAAATTTTCAGCTTCTCCCCAGATTACCGCTGCGCATGCGCCGGCCAGAGGCGGAACACCGCGTAGGCTCTGTCGCGGGATTCGACGTTCATGACCCATACATAGCGCGTTCCAGCGTCGATGAAGGTAAGCGTGTACATTTCGTCGTCGACTCCGCAGTGCCCCACGTTCAGGAAGTCGCTGTACACCTTGTGCAGCTTGGGGTAGCGATTAGTCCCAGGCTCGAGCAGCGGGAACGGTTGGTGGCTCAGCGCAGCTTCGGGGCAGACGGTGCAGTTGCGCGGATGTGTAGCGCCCCTTACTTCAGTGCCATCTGGGCGTAAGAGCGCTCCAGGAGCGAAGACGCCTGCGTCGATGCAGTTTTTCAGCGTCGCGCGTGAAGGGTGTCCGAGGCGCTGGTGCCAGAGTGCATCGTCAGCGCGAAAGCCGGAGGTGCGCATGTAGCGCGCGCGAGCTTCCTCAGGGTCTTCGTCAGGTACGGGAGCAGGTTCTGCTGCTGCTTCCTCTGCATCTTCTTCTTCTGCCGCGGTAGTCAGCATCAGTGCCAGAAACTCTCCATCGCAAATCTCAGAGAGCGGAATGTTGGTCCTAGGGATGGTTCCAGGGACGAAGGTGGGTTCGCGTGGCTCGGGAGCAGGTCCGTAGGCGGTGCGACGCGGGGTTGACGGCTCGTTG